GCATTGGTGAAGTTATTTGTATTTATGTGATCATTGTATCATGATGATGATCTGTGGGATTTGGGCTTCTCCTTCTGGAACTTCCAAGTGATTTATCATTTGAAAAGTTATCGGTATCATCATCCATTTCATCGTCGTCTATAACAGATGTTAAACTATTGTTTCTATGATTTGAATTATTTGATGTTGGAAGACCAATGTTGCTTATTTTAATATTTCTATTTACAAATAAATCGCCAGATGAAAGGGTTTCAGATGAAGTTGAGTCTCTATTTTTATTATCTCTTGGAATATTGTTTAGTTGGTTTAGTATATTTATTGTTGACTCACTATCATCAATAGGCGATTGGGATTGAGATTGATTGTTGTTATTATTGTTGGTTTTTTCATATTGATAGTCTCTAGAGTCATTGTTATTATAATTATCTTCATCATTGTAATCTCTTGTATTTGGTTTGTTTTTAGCGTTGTTATAGTTATTAGTATTATTATTATTATTATTAGTTTTTTTATTGTCATTTTCTTCATAATCCATTCTATCTGATGATTTTGAGTTTTCATATTCTTCTTTTTCTCTTTCTCTTTCTCTCTCCCACTCTCGACTTCTTTCCCTCTCTTGTTCTCTTTCCCTTTGTTTTTCATATTCTCTTTCTTTTTCCCTTTCTCTCTCTCTTTCCCTTTGTTTTTCATATTCTCTTTCCCTTTCCCTTTCCCTATCTCTTTCCCTTTCTCTTTCTTTTTCTTTTTCTTTTTCCTTTTCCTTTTCCTTTTCTTTTTCTTTTTCATTTTCGATTTCCTTTTCTTTTTCTTTTTCTTTTTCTTTTTCCTTTTCCTTTTCTCTTTCTTTTTCTTTTTCACTCTCATTTATATCCAAATCTTTTCTATCATTTTCACTAATATCTTTTATTTCATCTTTTTGATGTTCGTTTGCTTTTTCTAAAATACTATTTTCTGTATCATCTTTTGATGCTCCATTTAAAGAGGGAATTGTTTCTACTTCCATTTATTTATCTTTTTATTGTTATTCACAGATAAAATTATTAGTGCGAGTAAGTTTATTATTATAATAAAAATAAATAAAAAGATAAAAAAAAATAAAAAGATAAAATGATTAAAAAAAAAAAAAAAATAAAATAAAAAAAAAAATATAATAAAAATATAAAATAAAAATAATATTATTAATATAAAATTGTTTGAATTAAGTTATAGTTTTGTAATTTCCTGAAATATAGGATAAATGGAAAAAATAATAGATTTATAGATTGATATATTTATATTTAAAAATTTATAAATTAGTGATTTTTTAAAAAAAACATAAAAAAAAAAAATAAAAAAAAAAAAAATAAAAAAAGAAAAACAATTATTTTTAAGATACGATAATAATAAGAAATAAAAAAATATTATTTATTATTTATAAATTTGTAAGAAAAAAAAAACAAATAATTTTTTAAATTAATTTAAAAAAAAAAGAAATAAAAAAAATAATTTAAAAAAAAAGAAAAAAAAAAACTCTCCTATTTTATACATACAAAGAGTGATTTAGTACAGTAGTAGTCTAATATGGTTGTTATTTTTAAAATAGTTTGTTTTTTTTTTTTAAAAAATTATACAAACAGTGCCACTACTTTAAAATAATTATTAAAAATAATAAAAAATTATTTATTTTAATTTTGATTAGAGCGTGTATGTGTGTGCTGTGTTTTTGTGTGTATAGTGTGTGGGTGTGTGGTATAAAACTAAATTAAAATTGTTTTCACTTTTTTTCTTTCTTTTTCTTTTTTTTTTTTTTTGGTTTGGTTTTTTTTTTTATTCATTATATTTATCAAGACATATTTATTTACCCCACATACATATTCACAGATATATAAATTATTAAAAAAATTTATTTGGGTTGTGTGGGTTGTTTGGTAAAAAAAAACAATCATCATGTAAATTTGACTATTTTTATCTTTTAAAAAAAAATTAAAAGAATTGATCTAATTTTTTGAATTATAAATTTAATTTTATAATTTTTTAAATTAATACAAAAACCTTTTATTAATTATTGATATTGTTAATAATTTATCTTATTACATATTTTTTTATTTTTTAGTTTAAAAATATTTATCTGTTTTTAACCACACAAATTAAAATATATATATATAGTATTGTTTTAGATTTTAAAGAATTTATTTTTTATAATAATAAAACATATAAAAATGGGTTTTTTAATATTATAAAAATAACACTAAAATATAATTTTATTTAATTTTTTTTAGTTCCAAATTTTATTTTTTAAAATTTTTTTAATTTTTTTAGATTTTTTTTTTTTTTTTTATCTTTCAATTTTTTAATTAATAAAATTTATTTTTAAACAATAAATAATACAAGATGCAGCAGTTGGTTATACCATTTTTACAATCATCAATGATATGTTTGTCCATTTTAAAAACAATTCAATTTTTAAAAGATAAAAATATAGTTTCAAGCGAAATATCGAGAAAAATGGTAATTATTAAATTATTATATTTATAGGTTTTATAGGAATATATTAAATATTTATATTTAGTAGATACACACAGCTATAGGTATGGTTTATACAATATCATGGAGGTTATATCCAGATAGTTATTATTCAAGATTTATAATGGGTATGGTTCCTGCAGTTTTTGCATTTCAGTTTTCATTAATCGGCTTAGGAATTATTCATGACCCCAAAACTGTTAATTCAATGTCAAGATCAGGCAAACCAAGTGAGCTATTAAAAGGACCAGTTGCATATGGCTTATTAATTGCAATTCTAACAATGTATTATTGGTTTGACTCTCCAATTGGTTTAATTTCAATATTAATTTTATCAATAGGTGATGGTTGTTCTGCAATCGTAAGTAATTCAATTAGTTATAAAACAATAGATATACACATATACTTATACTTTTATAAAGACTGGTATTTTATATGGTAAAAGAAGATTGCCATACAATAGAAGTAAAACCTATGTTGGAACCACAGGATTCTTTATTTGTTCATTTATAGGTACATATATCATTTTAAATATTTTAAGTAGTTTTTTAGTCACACCAGTTGTTTCAATAGTTCCATCTCTTTTTATAACATGTATGGTTTCAGCATTTGTCGAATCATTACCATTTTTTGCTGAATGGGATAATGTCACTGTAACTTTAGCAAGTATTTTAACATTAAAAACATTAGGATGGTAAACAAATAAAAATATGTACATAAAAATAAAGTAAATTTTATAATTTCTTTTTTAAAATTTAATTATAATTTTTTAAATTACTTTCTACCTGAAGAGTGAATTGGAAACCTTTTTTTTGTAAATTTATAAAATTATTTCAATAATAAGAGATAATGCAAAAAATAAAAAAATAGTCTTTGATTTGATATATTTAAAATTTTTATTTTTGTTTTTATTTTTATTTTATTTTTATTTTAATATTGGATTATTAATAGGCACTGAATCTTTTAATAAAATTAATTTGAAATTTTATTAAATAGAGGAAAAAAACTTTTTGCTTTCTTTGCATAGGATTCTAACATTTTTAATTTTTCATCATTAAAAACTGATTTCTTTAAATGTTCATTTTTAGATTCGGCAATAATTTTGAAAATAGGAATTAAACCTTGAGTTGCTGATGCTATTAATGGTCCGTCAAAATTTCTATTTTCGAAATCTGAGTTTGATAAATGGTCAATAAAATTTAAAAAGAGGTGGGTTCTAATTCCCATTTCCATTATTTTAAATATATCTTCTTTTAGATCTAAATCTGAATTTAATAGCGGGAATACGGCATTTAAACGATTTCCTTGGTACAATAGGTATAAAAATTCAAAATTTCTGCTGATATATTGTGGCCGCTCTTCACCCCAAACACTAAACCTTTCGATTTTAATTTCATATTTTTGATTATTTGTTTTATTAATTCCTGTTTTAATTGTAAAATTTTGTTGTGATATATTTGATTGGATATATTGGTCTGAAACATCTTGAAAAATCCAGTATAGAAATTTGTAGGTGTTTTTTAATTTTAGTTGGTCTAAAATTGGTATTATATCGATGCATTCTGAACTACCATTTACTTCTATATGTTCTTTTAAGATCGAAATTGCGAAATCCTGATTATTTTCTAACAAACTAGTATTTAAATATCTAGCATATCTATTAATAGAGTTTGGGGGATAATATTCATTGCTTTCAAATATATAAAGTGTTGGATTGTTGAGTGCTCTTTTGAATTTTTCTAAAGTTTCTTTATTTTCATTGGAATCAGAGTATTCCAATCTTATAGGAATAGAAAACTTTCTTGAAATACTCTTCATTAATTGTTCGAAATGGCACAAAATTTGTTTGTTAACGTACTTCCAAAGGGGATTATTGTCATAAAACATTAATTTTTGATGGTTATTGAAAAAGTAGTCTAGTACTTCGGTTTTTGTGATTAATAGCATAATGTCACCAATAAAAGAAAATATTTTTTTGAAATGTTTGTACATATGATCAATTAGTTCTAAATTATTGGTTGAAATAATGGCCTGTTCAAAACAGATCTTGTCTTCCACTTGCCAAGCTCTTTTTTTTTCTGATATCTTTTTAATTAGGTTTTTTTGATATTCAATACAATGGTCACTATTTATAACTGTGAGTAGCTTGTGATAGTATTTTGACTTTTTTAATTTTCTTTTCGTAGAAAAAACGAGTTCGAATCTTGACTTTTCTTTAAAGTATATATAGTATTTAATTGGTTTTATTAGGATTGGATCATTGAAGTTTATTTTATAAACTGAATATAGTACTTTAAGTATGTTGTGGATTATTGGTTTTAAATATTGATCATTTGATAATGATATTGAGTTAATAGTTGATTTTAATTGTATTTTATTAAAGTTATTTGATTCAAGTTGGTGATTTAGTTGTTGTATTATATTGCTGTGCTTTTTTTTTGTTGTGTGATTTTGAGCGATGACATACTTGTAAATTTTGATTAGGGCTTTGAATTTTTCTGAATATTTAAAATACCTAATGACCTCATCTATTGAAAGATCGCCAATATTCGAGGTACCACCTGATTTTAAAAAAAGCTTCGTCTTGAGTTTATCATTCAATTTCTCGAGACCATCCACCCTTATATCCATTAGTGATGAAATATTTCTTTTATCTATTTGAAATCGTTCAGTGTATTCAATGAGTGCAGGATTATTGTTTATGTTGATAATTAATTGTATCCAAAATGGATAGTTACTGAAATTTCTAGAATCACCTGTGCTATCTCTTTCATAGTAAGGAAATATTGAAAACAATTGCCTATAGAATTCTCTATTCTCTTTGGTATCTTTTTTAATTGAAACTATAATTTTAACTACATCATCATAGTCTTTCAGTACATAGTTTCTACTTTTTATCTTATCCCTAATAATTGCTTCACCATTACTAAACCTGCTGAGAATATATTTTGCACCTATTAAATCATCATAACTGAATAATTCTTTGAATATAAAATTTGAAAATATTAATTTGAATAATACCTTATTTCTAAATATCTTCCAGAATGCAGTTTCACCGCTATTAGTATCCTTATTCAATGAAAAAACCAAACCTGGTGTATTCGATGATGTATTTATATCATCAAAGTCTGAACTATCAGTACTTTTATATTTTTTTAAAATATTGGTATTATTATTTGTGTTATTGTTTGTAATATCATCTTTTTTTCTTTTATTACTATCCATGGTGTGTTATAAAAAAAAAAAAAAAAAACTTCAAAAAAAAAAAATATTAAATTAAAAACAAAAAAAATTTAAAAAAAAATTAAATTTTAAAAAAATAAAAATTATTTTAAAAATTTTTTTAATTTTAAGAAATTTTTAACTATATGGTATACCAATAATATATATTTGAAAAAAGTTTAAATTATAACTATTTATGATAATTATTAAAAATAAAAATAAAAAAAATAAAATTAATAAAAAAAAAAATTTTATTAATATCAAAATATTATTAATTCTGGACTCAAAATGATTACTAATATTAAAAAAATAAAAACAACAATAATCCACACAAACACCACAACAAAATAATTGATTTATAATTGAAAAAAATTAAAAGTATTTGTTAACAATTTAGATTGTTTGGTTTTATACATCAGCAATTTCAATTCTCTTCAGTACCATCAAGTCTTTCAATGTTTAAGATGACAAACTCTAGCTTTGGTGCTTTGATACATGCCTATGATCTTTTGATCAATGTTCCCACTGTAGATATTAGTTTTAATCAAATCGCTGACCAGGTTTTGCCCGTATATCCAAATGATAAGACAAATGGTATTTACTCATTAGATTTAAGCAATAACAAGCTAACTGGTTCATTGGATCAATCTTATTGTAAAATCAATAAATTAATTATAATCAATACATATAATTTTCTATTTAATTCTCTATTTGTAAAAACTTTTTCCATATCTAGACTTTTCTTTAAAGTATATATAGTATTTAATTGGTTTGAATAGATTCGACTCATTGAATTTTAATTTATAAACTGAGTAAATTACTTTAAGTATGTTGTGGATTGGTTTTAAATATTGATCATTTGATAGCGATATTTTGTTAATAGATGAATTTAATTGTATTTTGTTAAACTTATTTATTTTTAATTGGTGATTTAGTTCTTTTACTATTTGATTGTAGTTATGAAAGATAACTATCTTGTAAATTATGCATACTAATTTTTTTTTAATAGAATTAGGTTGTTGTGAATGTAGATTTTTTTTATTTTAGTTTATTATAATACTAAATTAATAAGAATATAAACATTTATTTTTTTTTTTTTAAAATTTTAAAATTTCTTTTATTCTCTTTTACTTTTTTTATAAAATAAATAAATAAATAAATATAAAATTATAATTAATTAATAAATAAATAAATAGGTTGTTATTATTTTTTTTTTTTTTTTTTTTTTTTTTTTTAAAATGTCTTAGTTAAATAATTTGTAACTTCTTCGAAAGATGGTCTCTTGTTTGGATCTTCTGACCAACACCATACTACTAATTTTTTCCAATTTGGATCACAATTTTCAGGAAGTTCTGGTCTTAAACCTTTGGAAGCTACTAAAATGCCAGCATTCATTGGAGGGATACCTTCGTATGGTTCCTCACCAGTTAAAAGTTCCCACAAAACGATACCATAACTATAAACATCTGCTTTTTGATTGTAATTTTCGTGTCTTAAAATTTCTGGAGCTGTCCATGCAACAGTACCAATAGTTGTCATTGTTTGAGTGAAAGATGTTTCTCTTGCTATACCTAAATCTGCTATTTTTATGTTGAAGTGCTTATCCATTAAAAGATTACTTGATTTTAAATCCCTATGAATAATATTACGGCTATGTAAATGTGCCATGCCACGTGCTATATCAAAAGCAATTTGTAAAATTAAAGCAGAATCCAACTTTTGCTCCTTTGAATGAATTAGTTCAAACAAGTTGCCAGTAGGGAGAAATTCCATTACTATGCACATTGGATTTAAAGAATAGCCATAACATGTCACCAAGTTTGGGTGTTGAAGTGATCCCAATAGCTCTACCTCTGCTTTGAACTCTGTCATCATTTCTTCACGACCTTTATCTTTAATTGAATTTAATTTTTTAACAGCTACATCCTTGCCTTTCCAGTTGCCTTTCAATACCTTCGAGAAATGGCCTTTACCAATTTCTTTATCAATCTTGATGTCTGGGTAATTAATTAAAGTTACACTTGATGTGATTGGTAAAGTAACTGTATTTACAAACCAAACATCATCCAATATAGTAGTTGCACCATTAGAATCCCTTCCTTTACCACCCAAAACAAATAATTTACTGCCATTTTTAATTAAACCAAAATGAGAACGTGGAGTAAATTGAGTACCGGTAACCTTGGACCATTGCATTCGATAAGACAATACCCAAACATCTTTTAATGGAGTACCATCTTTAGCTTTACCTGCCACCATTACTATATTTCTACCAACTCTTGTGGAACAATGGAAAGAACGTTCGCAAGGAATTTCTCCACTAAGGTTATTAAAAGTAACTTGTTGCCATTGATAACCATCACATAATGAGAGTACATGCATATCATTCAAATCTTTAACTGTAGAACTGCCATTCTTATTTGATCCACTTGAGCCTCCAAACACTATTAATTTTTCACCTAATATCGTACTTGTATGACCAAAACGCTCGATAGGTGGAGTACCTTTAGCTGATGTAATTGATGACCATGACATTGTTTCTGGATCTAGAGAGTGTAAATCATTTAAACATTGTTCACCATCATTACCGCCAAATAATAAAAACTTGTTTCCATATCTTGTGAATGTGTGACCATATCTAGCAGATGGTTGTAAATTTCCGCTTATACGTGGCATTGACCAATGGACTGTTGAATCATCCATTATAGTTAATACATAGACTTTATTTGATAATTTACCCCCAACAAAGCCACCAAACAAATAAAACTTATTACCAACTCTACAATAATCATGGGAATATATAGTTTCTGGACCAACTTTACCTCCTGTAACTTTTGGTGAAATTGATAAATTTCTTTCAACGTCAATAAATTGTACCAAGTTTTCATTTATACCTTCCCCACCAATTAATACAATGGATGAACCATAAACTGTTACTGAATGACACTATAATAATAAAAATTAGAAAAAAGCATTAATATATATTTAATTATAAATGAATTAGATATATTTAAATGATTAACTTACAGATCTAGAGGGTGATAATGAAAATTGAGAAAGTGCCCAATCTAATTTCTCTTCAATACCACTTGATAATTTACTAAATTTGGTAATTGTACTTTTAACTTTATTTGTATTTTCCAACTGTGATAACTCTTGTTTAGTTTCATCAACATTGGATGAAAGTAATTGTTGTTGCGATGAAGAATTTGAGGAATGTGATGATTGTGACTGTTGATCATCTTGATCCGAATCGATAAGGTTATTATCCTCAGAAAACAAACTATTATCATGATCTTGACTGATATTAACTATATCACCATCATCAGCATTGAAGGAGGATGGTGTTTGTGGTGTTTGTGGTGCTTGTGGTGTTTGGGTTTGAGAATGTTGTTGATGTTGTTGCTGTTGTAGTAACTGTTGCTGTAACTGTTGTTGTGATTTTTCGTGTGGTAAATAATTAAAATATTGATTATAATATTCTGGTGGTAGGCTTTTTCTATTGATAACTGATGAATTTCCAAAAGTTCTAGTTCGATAGGTTGATGATTGGTCAAGATCAGTGAATGAATGAGTTGGAAAAGTTGAATAAAATATACTGTGAGAAGAAAATGAGGGTGATGGTGATGGAGTAGAAGAAAGTGAATAAGAAAAACTGCCTGGAGCACTTTGGGGTTGATGGCCACTAACTCCGCCAGATGAAGATCGAGTATGAGTCTTGATATTCATTATATTGCTATTATTAATTAAATTGCTACTACTATTTTCTTTAGTTAAGCCACTACCATTGCCAATACTGCCGCCGCCATTACCATTACCATTAACACCAACACCACTACTTCCAGCACTAGAGTTACTGATGGCTGGTGAAGCAGCGATTGGTGTACCATTAACACTATTTACATTTGATAAAGATAGAGTGCCGCCAATTAAATTAGAACTACTGGTATTTTCATAAAAGCTAATTCTTGATTTAATATCTTTTGCAATTTCTGGACTTGATATATATTTATTATATTTATGATTATTATCACTATTAATTTGATTATCACTGTTACTATTGTTATTATTATTATCAATATTACTATTTTCTGTTTTATCACCTCTACTATTATTATTAGAACTTAATTTATTTAATATTTGATATCGATTATCAAAATACAATACAAAATAAATGGCAAATATAGATACAACATAAATCGATACCTCTTTAAATACAAATTTTGAAAATAAGTAGATTAACATTACAATAAATAATGACTCTACAAAATATATGGGACTGAACCCAAACATTACTGAAAAATTTGGTTTTCTGATAAATTCTAATAAATTTTTAAAAACTGTCTTTTTAACTCTAATATTGCCATTATTATTATTAGGAATATTGTTATTATTCATATTATTATTATTATTATTTTCATTTTGTGGTTGTTTACTATCCGCTATAATCTCTTCTTTTAAAACTTCTTTAATAAATTCTTTTTTACCACTACTTGGACTATTATTTAAACTATTGTTGCTATAACCATCATTGTCCTTTATATCAACCCTTTCTTTTACTACCTCTTTAGTATTATTATTCTCTTTATTATTATTTTCTTTATTATTATTCTCTTTATTATTTTCCTTATTGTTATCTTTATTATTTTCTTTATCAACTATAACCTCTTTATCCCTTATTGGCTCTTTATTATTATTGCTATTACTATTGAAATTTTTATAATAATTACTTTCTTCTAATAATTTGGCATCTATATAACTATTAAAATCTGCTGCAGAACTACTATTATTAGAAAAACATGATTGAGATGATAAATTTAATTGTGACATATTTGACGTTGGTGTATCGAAATTTGGTGATGATTTAAAGATTGCATTGGATTTATCGGGTGTTTTATGTTGATATGAAAGATTATTATTTTGTGATTGTGGTTGTGGTTGTAGTTGTGATTGTGATTGTGATTGTGACTGTGGTTGTGAAAACTTTTTCTTTGTTGGTGAAGTCTCCACTATTAACGATGCACTGTGGCTCCTATTCCTTAATCCCTTAATTGAAGCGGCATTTAATATTGTATTATTGTGGTTATTATTATTACTATTGTTATTATTATTTGTAGTTGCCAGTTGTTATTTTAAATATAATTATATAAAATTTATTATATAATTTTATTTAAACAAAAAAAATAAAAAATAAAAACTATTAATTATTTGAATTTTATTTTATTTTTAAATTTTTTTATTTATTTGAAAATATTTTAAAAAAATAATTATTATTATTTAATTTAAAAATACATGGATTATCTATAAGTTATTTAGTTATTATTTATTTGGCTAGATGGTTATTTTATTTATTTGTTTGTTTGTTTAAAACTATAATGATTATTAATTTTTTACAATGGCTAAAGTGTAAAAGATTCTATTAGAATTTTATTTATGCGAATATAAAATAAAATATAAAAAAAAAAAAAAAAAAAGTAAAATATAAATAATTTTTATTATAAATTAAAATAGAAAAAAAAAAAAAACAATAAAAATTGTTCTAAATCGATTTTTAAATAATAAAAATAATTCAAAAAATAAAACAACCACACACAATTTTCACACACAAAATATTAAAAACACACACAAAAAATTAATATTACTACATACACAAATACAAAGATATAGAATATAATCTAACTTGAATCTTTGATTATTTCAAATAACTATAAGCTATTTAAATAAAAAATAACAAGTATAATAGTTGAATTTAATTATAAAAAACACATAGACAAAACAACTGGGTGCCTTACTTTTATTATATACACTTTTTTTTTTTTTTTTTTTTTTTTTTTTTGATTATTTGAAGTCTTTGTTAGATAAACTAATATACAGGTTTTATTTATTACTTTTTATTTATTATTCTTTATAATTTTCTATAAAACAATATATAAACTCTATTTTTATTTTTGAATATAAATTTTAAAAATAATTTAAAAAAAAATTTTATTTTATATAATTTTTTTTTTTTTTTAATTTTTTTTAAAATTATTTTTTATTTCAAATAAATTTCATGAAAAAAAAAGGCAAATAAATTCACACACACATTTGATAATTACATACCCACTCACACTCTATGGGATAAATAATCCACATTTTTTTGTTTATTACCATAAAATTCCAATTATTTCTTAAAATTAAAATTAATTTTATTTTTATTTTATTGATAAAAGAATAATAATTATAGTAATAAAATAACAATTATAAAAAATACCTTTATATTAATTTAATTACTTTCTAAAAAGAGCATTTTTAGATGTTGCAAAATAAAAGTATACTATAGTTTTATTTTAATTTTTCATATCCAATAATTAAAAACCCCACACACCACACTACATTTTCGAAATCCTCTTAAATTTCAATTTTGTGGGTCCTTGAAAAATATTGCAGATGCGATCTTTAAAACACCACATTATTATTAAATTTAAATTTTATTTTAATATGGTTTTAAAATAAAATTAATTATAAAACTATATTTTTTGAAATGAAAAAAAAAAAAAAAAAAGATTATTTCTTTTTTATTTTTTTTTATCTAATTTTTATTTATTTGATGCTTTATTCATATAATGTTGAATTATACTTGAATTTAAATCTGAATTTAAAAAAGCATTAACTATTTTATTATTATAAAAAATACCTTGATAATTGGACAACAAGTATACTAGGTATGATTCGAGTGGTTCTTGTCTTGCTTTTGCAACTTGATTTGATGCTACTTTTAATTTCTTTGGTGGTAAAGTTAAACCGATATCTTTTTTATCGATTATACCTAAATTTTTTAGCTTTGTTATAATAAAATGAAAAATGAAAAATATATTAATATTTTAATATGATGATATAATCAATTATAATATTATTAATATAGGTTACCTTTTTATCTAATAACAAAAAATTATTATATCTTCTAAAAACAAACCATTCATTAGAATTTGAAATTACATGAATTCTATATTCTATATGATCATCCAATTGAAAGAAACCATTAATTTTGATTGAAAGATCCCAGGCTGCACCAGATTTAGTGAATGGTTTCCAACTGGTTGGTGTATTTGGTCTTTCTTGGGAGCTTCTTAAAGAGTTTGGTGATGAAGCTGCTCTTGGACTATTACTATAACTACTATTTACACTACTATGATAGCTTCTATCTTGTGATGATGATAATGAATGATCTTGTGAGGATGATAATGATCTCTCTTGTGAAGATGATAATGATGATGCGGCAGATGATTGGTTATGGTTTGATGATGATGATGATGCTACTGAGGTTGATGGTTTATAAGACCAATTGCTTTTTCTATTTACATTACTTGTTGAATTGGTCGATGAAACTGATGAGGTTGATGGTAAAGATGAAGTTGAATATGATTTAAAAGATGGTGGTGATACTGTACAATTTTTGGGTTGTTGATGTTGTTGTTGTTGATTGTAGTGATTATTGTTACCACTACTATTACTATTATAAGAATTATTTTTACTATTATCTACAATTGAAACATTTGAAATATTTAAAGCAACAAATGATGGTTCAATTTGGGCTATTGAAACTTTAACTGGCTCACAATGAAGTTGATTGTGATGATTTTCGAATGATACCTCATCTTCTAATGATCCATTTTCTGATGAATCACATGATCTATCATTCTTTAAAGTAATATTACAATTATTAAGGAAATTTGGTTTTTGATAAGTTTCTGGTGTTTTAAAATTTCTTGGTCTAGTTTGTTGCTGTTGTTGTTGTTGTTGTAATTGCTTAATTTGTTTATTTATTTCTTCTTCTTCTAACTCTAATTGTTTTAAATCTTCTTTTAATTCTTTTTTTAATTTATTTTGTTCTTCTTGTTCTTTTAAGTGTTGTTTTTGTTTTTCTTGTTCTTCTTGTTGTTGTTGTTTTATGTGTTGACCAAAGCCATTCTTTTTATTAACTGGTGAAAAACCATTAAGATCACCTTGGTATGAAAGACGGGTTTGTGAAGCCAATAATGCAATTACTTCATCTCTATCACCTCTACAAAATTCTAAGGCATCTAAAATTACTGAGACTTCAACATTTGGGAATAATTCAATTATAAATGATTCATCTTCTGTAAATTGATATGACTTTAAAGGTTTTTGTTGCTGGTCTTGTTGTAGAGTTGCAATATTGTTTGATGATGATGTTAATTTTATAGTACCAACAGTTGTGGATGATTTATTACCATTTTTTAATTGTTTTTCCTTTTCCTTTTCATAGTCATAATAAAATTCGTCATTTGACTCACTCTCTTCAGAAAGGCTGCTTTCATCATCTTGCTCTTCAGAATCACTATCCTCTTGGTCTTCATCTTGGCTTTCATCCTCGTCCTCTTGCTCCACTTCACCATCCTCCCTTTCTTCATCGTCATCATAAGAATTATTTGATAGATTTTGAATACTGCCAAATCTTTGATCATCATCATTATAATCATGTACTGTAGTTGAAACCAAGGATGGTGCGCTTTGATTAAAATTTCTATGATGAACTGGAGATGTGCTTACTTTGACGTCTGGTAAAGAGATGCCCCTAGACTTATTCTTTGGTGGAGTGGTGTATTCTGATAAATGCTTTATCCATTGTTGCTTTTCTTCATTATTGTTACATTGAAATTTCAAAGAGTGATTATTTGATACAACCAATTCAAATAATAATTGGCTGTTTTCCATTTGATTTAATATACATCCAACAACTGATAAAAAATTTGCTGTTTCAAAACTTTTATTCTGTTTTAAATAAATAAAAAGTAAATATAAGGTAATTAATAAAAAAATTAAAAAAATATTAAAAAATATAAAAATCAAAAATTACCTTTGTATGAGAATAATACAGAATTACACATCCTGCTTCTGAAACCAATGATACTCTTTTATCTACAAATTGTCCATCTTCTTGTAACAAAAGAATTCCTTCTTTTAATGTCATAAATTCTAATTCATCATCAAAATCCATTTTACCATAAATTTATTCTTTTATTCCAGAGTTGTTTTTTTTAAATTTTATTTATTTTTTTTTTATTTTTTTTTTGGTGAATATTTACAAGGTTATTATATTATATTTATAACTATAATTTATTTATCTCCAACATTCAATGAATACCACTATTATTGTTATGTTGTTGAGGTTTGTTTGATTTTTTTTTTTTTTTTTGATGGGTGGTGGTTAATTGAAAAAACCTATTTTCTAATTTTTAAAAAAAAATTATTTTACTATTTTTTTTTTCTTTGATTTTTCTTCTATTTGATAGTTTTTTTTTTTTTTTGAGATATTATTTTAAAAAATAAATAGAAAATAATTAATTAATATTTATTTCTAAATTAATAAAAAATATAAAATATAAAAATAAATAAAACAAAATAAAATAAAATTATTTTTATAAAAAAAAATAAATTATTTATTTATTTTATTATATTTACACAAAAGAAAAAAAAAAAAAAAAAAAAAAAAAAAGGGTAAGATAAAAAAAAAATGTGGTATATACCCAAAAAAAAAATAAAAAATAAAAAAAAATAAAAAAAAAAATAACACAAAATAAAAAATAGATATTATTTTAAAAAAAAAAATTTTTATGTGTATGAAAAAAAATTAAATTACTTTTTTTTGAAAGAAAAATTGAAAAGGACCTTTAATATTGAAGAATATATAAAAAAAACCCGCCAATAAGAAATTCCCCCCGGGATATAGGGAAAAAAAAAATTTGCAAAAAAAAGATTTGGGGTGCCTAAAGGGGGAATTGGGTAATGGTGGTTGTATGTTAAAATTGGGAAATGTGTAAAAGGAATAAAAAAAAAAGCCAAAAATAAAAATTGGATTAATTTTATTTTTTTATTTATTTAAAAAAGTTAAACCCAAAATAATAAAATAATCCTTTTATTGTGTGGGAGATGGTGATTATTTTTAAAAAACAATCACTATGGGGT